AGGGTTTCAACGTATGGTTACGTTCCTTCTCAGTGATACAGGGTGCCAACCCCTGGTTACGTTCCTTTCTAGTAATACAAGGTGCGAATCCCGTATTACGTTGCCTTTCAGTAATACAGGGTACCATCCTCTAATTCCATTTCTTTGGTAACATAAGGTACTACCCCTCGTGGTTGCATATTAGCTAGTTTGTACTACTTCCTCTGTCTTCATTTCAACAAATTAGATAATTTATAGCTTTCTCTAATAACTCACAAAATTTTCCTAGTGCCAAACTGGGGCAGAAAAATTTTGTTTGTTTTGTTCGTCTTTGATGCTTTGCAGGACCCTGCCGTAAAGCACATATTGTAGAGATTAAAGCTTGCAATTTCAGTTCTCATCAGAAGAAAGAAGTTTGTTGATCATAAGACAGTTGGAGTTTAGTTTCGATGAGGTGCCAACAACTCGGCGTCTCAAGATTCATCTTCTCAAGTTCTGAGCAGGAAATCAAGCAATCGAGAATGAGCCATAATCTTTTCTTCAAAAAGGCATCAAGATCCAATCTAAGGTCAACACAAGCGAGCAGGTCAAGAATCAAGATTTGACTCCAGAAGACAAATAGATAGGCATTTTGTACTCTTAGTTTGCAGACATATATAGTGCTCTTCTCTTTTTCTTTTGATGTAAGAAGCGAGTAACAGCAATAGCAGTAACATCAACAACAACAGCAGTAGTCTTAACTCCAGTGTCCAGTAGTCCCAGCTACCAAATTTTCCCAGAACTACACTGACCTGATTCCTTTAGAGCCAAGGATATGTAGGCAACCACGGAAGCAAGGTTCGGTCACCTTTTTCAAAAAATGCTTTCATTTAGAGTCGTAGGTGAGCAAAAGTTAGTCATGGCATTCAATATCTTTGCACGAAAACTCTTTATGTTCTCGAGCAAAGAGGGCAGCTGTAAATGCCTAATTTTTATTTTTTTTTATATTTTTTTTCTTTTACATTATATTTTTAATAATTTTATTATGTGTTTTTTGTAGGTCATTTGAATTAGATTTTTTAAATTAGTTTGTTAAGGGGGTTAAAAGATGGTGCTAGTGTAATTAATTGAAATTGAGCCAAAATTGGCCCAAAATCTGAAGCCCAAGTTCTTCTTCTTCTTCTTCTTATCACTCTCTCTCTCTCTCTCTCTCTCTCTCTCTCTCTCTCTCTCTCTCTCTCTCTCTCTCTCTCTCTCTCTCTCTCTACTCTCTCTGTTTCTCCGCCGCTCCCCACGGTGGCTCCGCTGGCCGGAAATCGTCGCTGCCAGCAGACCACCTCCAATCCACCCCAAAATCTCACCATCTCTTCCTCTCACTCCCCTCATTCCAAATCCATGACCCAAGTTCCCCAAATCTCCACCAAAAATTGACAAACCTACACCCTAGTCGCGCCGCCGCCTCTTCCCCGCCGCGCGCCGCCGCCGCCACCGCCCGTCGTCCAAACTACCCCAAAACTTCACCATTTCTTCCTCCCAACCTTCTCTCCACAAATACAAGCCCCATTTCCTTCAAACCCTTCCCAAAATCTGCACCACCGCACACTTTCGCTTACACCGGCGACCCGCCACCACTGCCACACCACATAACCTCTACACGACCCCTTAATCTCTCTTTCTCTTTGACACAATGCCGAACTTAACCCGGTTTGCTGGAGTTTTTAGTTTTTGGCATTTTTCATCGAGAAGAAGAGGCGTGGAGGTTGATTCGCCGTCTATCTATGTCACACTACTGATTTGAAGCTCGAGCGCTTAGGTAAAATCCAAACCTTTCCTCTGTGCTTGTGATTTGTTGTTTCAATGCTATTTGATTGTAGCTCTCCTTTTAATTTTAATTACGTTAGTGGTCGTCTTAGTTTAACGCTTAATATAGTTTCTGTTTCGATTAGTAACTAGGATTAGGTTTTAATTGGTGTTACATGCTTATGTTATGTAATTCGTGCTTTTGATTTTGTTAAATTAGGATAGTTGTTCTAGTTTAGTTTCAACAAAACACTAACTCGTATTGACTCTTGTCGTTTAAAGTTTAGTTAATATCGGTTAATTGTTGTTTGTTTGATTGTGATTCCTATTTGGTTTAGTTATTGTTTGTTTGATTGTGATTCCTATTTGGTTTAGTTACTATGAGTTTTAGTTAGTTTAATGTTCTAATTAGTTCATAACCAATTCCGTTAGGTTGTAACCATTGTTTCAATTAAGTTTATGTTTTAACTAGGTCGTTTGGTTCCAAATTGCTTCTCGAATTATGTTGAAGTATTTTTAATCTAGTTGTTACTTAACAATTGATGTTTGTCTATTTGGTTGCTAACTTCAGTCTAGTTATATGGTTTCTTGTGTTTTGGTTTAAAAACATAGGGTGGTACTGTTATTTGGTAAAAGTTGAAGATTAGTTGGTTCAATCATGTATTAGGGTACTTTAGTAGCTTACTTTTAGTGTTAGGGTGGTTGAAATGACATTTTTTCTCCTTGTTTCTGCTATAGCAGATTTTCAGGCTGTCCTTTCACCTTTTGGACAGCCTTTGAACAATGTTTAGCACACAAAAGTTAGTCCTTTTGGACAGACTTTTGGTGAACCAAAATCTGTCCAAAAAGTGGCTTTCTTTGCCTACTTAAGGGCCGCCCTTTCCTCACTTTACATAGACACTCTATCACACATTTTGACAAGCTTTTAAACACATCTTTAGAGCTGTTTGAATGCACAAAACTTTAAAGAAAAATCAGCAACTAAATATAAAGAAAGTATGCTGAAATTGTGAGTTTTTGTGAGTCAATCTTAGAGTGCAAACAATTAGAAAAGTATAAGTCCTCTTTAGAGTTTGGTTCTGGATTTCTTTTCTAAGTTTTCGGGCTGTTCCAACACGAATTTGCTGCTTGTTTTGCTGCTGTTTCGCTGCTGTTTTCTGCTGCTTTTGTTGCTGAGCTTCCATTCTTCATTGTTGTATTTATTATTCCGCGACCCAGGTAACTCTTTAATCTTATGTTGAAGATATTTTCACATTAACAAGAAGATTTGAACTCATCTCGATTGCTGGGAGCATTTCCATCTAGATTAATGAGTGCTAGATAAATTTCTTGACTGTTTAAGTATATCTTGTTGGAGTTCATATGTGAAAATGAATCCTTAATTGTTCAAACACTCTTTATTCATGTGTTACTTGTTTTTACTATCTATTATAGTTTTGATGCATATAAAATGAGATGTTTCAACTAGGTTATAATGTGTTTAGGGACCCTTTTCGCACCTTGTGCAATTCTGGATAATTTATGATAGGCTATTCTTTAAAGAAAAGAACAAAAGAGCCATGCCTTAAAACCTTTAGTTATTGTTATAAAATTTAGATTTTACATGTGGCCATCTTTGCTAAGACCTTGGATTTTTGGTAGAAAGTGGCTAGATCATAAATAGATGGTTGGGTTTGCTAGCTAAAAATAAAGGTTAATGGCTTAGAGCAAAAGAGGCCAGACTCGCAAATTAGCCCAGGTGGGTTGTCTTAGCAAATCAGCAGTTTAAAGCCATCGGGCTTTCAGGTTGTGCCCATTTCTGGAGCCCTTTGTCCAACAGGCCCAATGCCTTTAAGAAGTCTATAAATATTTTTTGCCCATTCTTTTGTATAGATGTTGGCCCAATGCCACAACTAAATAAGCAAATTGGTCCACTTTCTCAATAAATAATATCCATCTTCAAAAAAATAATACTAGATTAGTTGAATAAACTTATTAGGAATTAGTTAATTTTCATGATGTGTAACAATAATCCAATAACTTAAGTACCTTTAATTAATTTAAATGCTAGACAACTAGTAGGTGCGTTTTAACTTCTTCTTTTTTTCATTCATGGACTCGCTTGCGTAGTGTGATATTGACATTTAATATTTTAATTCAATAATCTCATATCATTTCTACTAGCTTTAATTAAGTTTTAATTTAATTAATCCTTTTTGTAAAATCGCGGATTCGCGTGCGTAGCGCGATTGTTAATATTTAATTAATTCCTTTAAATGTAGTAACTTTTTTCAAAAGTAATAATTTACTAATAATCTTTGTCATAATTGTGGATTCGTTTGCGTAGCGCTGTTATGATAAAATTAATAAATTTCATTTCGATCATGCATTCGCTCGCGTAGCGTGGTTATGACAATGTAATTTATCAAAAAGTCATTTTTCTTAATAAATCTAATAATCAAGAAATAAAAGCGGATAGGTAAAACATAAAAATCTTATAAATCACAGTTTGTTCAAAAATAATTCGAGCCAAGTTTAAGTCAATAAAGCGACCGTACTAGAACCACGGGACACGGGGAATGCCTTACACCTTCTCCCCGGTCAAAAGAATTTCTTACCCGAACTTTATTTTCGCGGATCGATAATAATATAGTCAAACCTTCCTTTGACTAGGGATTCAAATAAAAGGTGACTTGAAACACCCACAAATCAATTCCAAGTGGCGACTATGTAAACAAAATAATCCCTATTCAAGTTTGTCAACTAAAGTAACTTGCCAAATACTTAACGTATTTGATATCACGAATCTTTGAGAACCGTAACCAAAATACATAATTGAGGAACAAAGAAAGAAAAAGTTATAGTGAGGGAAAATGGTCCATGCATATTTAAGGCAATGAAAGGAATATAAATTAAGATGATGGATTTGATCGGACCACATGAAATTAAAAAGTGGACGTACCTTAGACTATTTGTTCTTTGTTGTTCATTGTTTAAAGAGGAAGAAGTATTAATTACTAGTTTCACTTGATTTTTGTGGATCTTATAATTTATAAACCGTAAAGAATTGAGGGACCATTATATGTGGTATGCAACATATTCAGGAATGCCACCAAACATTCTGTTAATGCCTTTATTCAGTATCCATCAACACAGCTAGACGATTCTTCTTTAAAATTTTCTTATTTTCTACCAAAAATAATATATATNATATATATATATATATATATATATATATATATATATATATATATTATAAAAAGGAGTAATTCCCAGCAGAGAGTGCTCTTCCTTTAATGATTCCTACACGACCTGAATCCAGATTAGTCAGGTCAGTATTTTGAATATCGAAAAAATATAAGTTATAGCAGTTAACAAGGAAAGGTCGGGGAACCTGATATCTCTTTGTTAAATTTAATATCAGGTACACCATTAGGAAACGTGGTAGTGATGAATGAGATCCCCCAACCTTAACCAATTAAGGTTGTATAGGTTCAAGCTTATAAAAAGGAGTAATTCCCAACAGAGAGTTCTTTTCCATTAATGATTCCTACACGACGTAAATCCAGATTAGTCAGGTCAGTGATTTGGATATCGAAAAAAATATAAGTTATAGCAATTAATTAGGAAAGATCGAGGAACCTGATGTCTCTTTGTTAAATTTAATATTAGGTATACCATTAGGAAACGTGGTAGGAATGAATGAGATACCTCCAACCTTAACCAATTAAGGTCGTATAGGTTCAAGCTTATAAAAAGGAGTAATTCCTAGTAGAGAGTGTTTTTCCGTTAATGATTCCTACACGACGTGAATCCAGATTAGTCGGGTCAGTGATTTGGATATCGAAAAAAATATAAGTTATAACAGTTAACAAGGAAAGGTCGAGGAACCTGATATCTCTTTGTTAAATTTAATATCTTCTAGGTTTACTTAATGTTCATTCTCGTACTAGAAAAGTCCAGGAATTCAACCAATGTTTGAAGTTGCAGTCGATTGAAAGTGAAGCAAAGTACAATAAGTCAATTGAGGCATCAAGCAACAATCAATTTTATCATCTCCAAGTCCAAATGGTGGGAAAGAACTTGTAGTAATCTTTTGCCATTAATTATATATTTTCTTTTTTTATTATCTAATTCCCACTTAATTTAATTTGTTGGCAATTACATTAGAGTGAGACATGGCATATTACATTCCATATAGAGAGACAATAGTTATGGTGAAAATTATCAATTGTTATGATGGTGATCAATTTAAAGGAACGTGAGACAATATTGATAAGCAGAGATTCTATATTTTAAAATGTTGGTCAAGCTTCACATAGTTTAAATTTCGAAAAATATATTAAGTAAATTGAAAAGGAGGTTGTAATAAATTTAGAGGGTACCAACTGCAAACAGAAACCTACAATGACATATAAAGAGTCAAAAGTACAACGCTTTGATCCTGATTGAAGTAATACTTATTGGGCTAGTTTACTCAACAAAGGCTAAGCAAATAATAAAAACTAGTAGAGTGACGAGAATGTCAAGATCGTGACTTTTCATTAATTGTTAATGACTTAGTGCAATTATGGTCCCTAGAGGGCCACTTCAGTTCGCTACTACTCTATTGTTGGGCTAAATATTACAATCATGTATTGCATTTTTACTTATCAGAAAAAATGACATTATATAACCGCTTTTAAAATAATATCCGATAAATATATATTTTTTGTAGATTTGTTGAATAATTTCTGGCGAGGTCTAAAAATGAATATAGTACACCAAATAATATTGTCTCTCATCCCTTTAAATTGATCACCACCGTAACAATTGATTTTTTTCCACTTTTAAAAAAAATACCACCTAAAGATTACTCTACCAACACTTCACCTCCATGACTGATGACACACAGAAAAAAAACACAAGAAAATTTCACAAAAATAGTCTACATGTGAAGTCTTAATTTCTAAACAGGAAAAACATAGGTTGAACCAAGAGACTTGAGGCTTAGCCGTAACGACCCAACCCATTAGTGATATTGTTCGCCTTGGGCTTAGGTCCGCACGGCTTTAAAATGCGTCATTAGCTGAGATTTTTCCACTAGCGTTCAAGGTTGCACGCGTAGTAGCTCTGATACCATATGTAGTAGCCTCTCCACTAGTGATATTGTCAGCTTTGTGCCTAGGTTCGCACAACTTTAAAATACATCATCAGGATTTAAGGCATGTTATTTATATGCCCAACGTCTCTCCGATGTTTTGTCAATATGAAATTCTCCCGAGATATCACATTATAGCATATCTAAAGTAACATTAAGATCTGAAAAAAAGAAAAGAGAAAACTATTTCAAAAGAAAGGACAAAGATAGAAAATCTGCAATAAAAGTAAGTTCGAGAAAAGGTTGTAGCTTGATCAATTGATATGTTTGAGTCTCAATCAAAGTTGTTCTAACTTTTGGCATTTGATTCACATTATTTTTACTTTTAGCACAACTCATAAACACATTTTGATTGCAACTTATAAGCAATTGATATGTTAATTTTTTCTCTTTCCTTCTCAAAAAGGTTTTCATTTATGAATAAGACCATCTGGATGTCTGACTTGAGGATTGAATTTTGTCCAGTAACTAATTATAATGGGCAAAGATTATTTTTAGCCCCCGATCGAAATTATTTAACTCAATCATCGCAAAAATATATAAAATTTATATTTTTTATATAACGTACATAAATGTATATATATATAAAAAAAATATACCATTTTCGACAATTATTTTGAGAGAGAGTATGTAATGTAATTTTCCCGATTATAATTATTTTTTTTAAAACATTCATGTGACTTGAGAGAATGATTAGGAAATTCAAGAAAAAAATATTAATGTGGTTTCTACACATGGTGATACGATCATCTATTAATAAAGTCAAGTGGTCCTAGCTACTACTTGCGAAATCATTTCAGCACATCAGAATTGGCAGGAAATTCATAAAGATTGTGAATAGCACAAGTGATCATTTGCATTTTTGGTACGTAAATCTCGCCATCATATTTAGTTATATACTCCCCACTATATATATGTATCTATCATCAAGTCATCTCCATTCAGTCCAAAAATCCTACTTGAGAAATATCATCCTCAGAATTGTCTCTCACAATTCTCATCACAAAGAGATAAAGGCAGCTCGGTGAGTAAAGCACATCACATAGGGTCCGGGGAAGGACTGTATTTCTAGGCGTGTGATGTAGACAGTCTACCTAATATGTAAGCATTAGTGGCTGCTTCTCGGCTCGAACACATGACCTATAAATAAAAAAAGGAAAAAAACTAAACATAATAATGAATTAATAAAACATAAATAAAGAAAAATTGTTCTTGTCATAATATTGTCATCAACCCAAAGCCCATGTGGTATTAGTAGAACACTAAAAAATCCTAACTCTGGGAAAATTACAAAAATGTATGCACTAGATGATGGTGGTTGATGATGATGACGGCGAATCCCCACAGAATTCCAATAGTTTCCATAATATATGTCACAGTCAAAGGTCATCCAGAATATTGTCTCCGTATTTAAACATCTTCTTTGTAAGCTTGTCAGCCTAACAGAATATATACATCCTTTTTTGTGTGTCAATGTTTTCACCAAAAAAAATTTGACCAACTAAATCTCAAAGTTAAACCTATGTTTCCTTTTGTGCTAGCTAGTAGCCAAAAAAACAAAACAATTTTCTTCTTTTTTCCCAAGGAATAGAAAGATCGAACCAATCAGCTATAGCTAGTAATTAACTATGATAGTGATAATAGAGATGGAGCAAAGGCTGTAACATGTTTAGATTCAGAGAGCCAATAACTGTGAATATCATCTGCAATTTTCTTGGCATCCATTGATGCACCAAGTAATCCACGTTTTGTGTACCCCACTGCATAGAGCCCACTCTCCCCTTTCCAACCATTTGGAAATGGTCTTTTTGGAAGCCCATCTTCCTCTGAAAACATCTCTCTTTCCTGCAAAGGTAACCATCAAGAAATTAATTAAAAAAAAGTAACTGCGAGCACAACGCATCCCGCATTCACGCACGGCCGGTTCCAAAGTTATTGAGGGGTAAGGCTTATACCTTAGGCCCTCAAATTTGAGGGGCCTCATTTTTAAAAATTAATAAGTTCATAAATATTTTTTAATACAAAATAAAATTTTTAATATAAAAGAAAAGAAAACTTTTTAGGATATATAAAGAAGGTAATAATTTGACTTACTTAAAAATGGGTGGATAAATAGTTTTTACAACGTTTCAGTTTTTAACTTTTTATTCCTTCATTAAAAATTTTGCTCTCTTTTTTAATTTGTCCAAGCCAATCTTTCTTTTATTCTAATCTCTTCATATTTCAGAAAATCCTACATATTTTTTGTCTTTCTCTTTGATATTCTTACTCACTTTCTTTCTCCATGATTTCATTACTCACATTCTTTCTCAAAGATTTCATTAGTTCAAGTGTTCAACAATACTTTTAAGTTTTCTATAGCTCTATTCTTCTATTGCAATGTAAAATCTTATCTAAGATCAACAATATTTCAAAAAAGATTAAATGAGTTGGTTATATTATCAGTTGAACGTGAACTATTAGAGAAAATCGATTATAAAAAATTTCTTAAAAATTTTCTATCTTAAAAAGTTAGAAGAATAGACTTCAAATAAAAATATATCTTATAACTTTTTTTAAAAAATTTAGGTCTCATATTAAACTATGGTTTTAGGCCCTGTATGTGCTTGAGCCGCCCCTACATTCACGCAGAGTCAAGGAAAGGGCCGCACCCCATGGGGTGTGATATAGACAGCCTACACTAATATAAGTATTAGTGGCTACTTCCGCGCTAGAACACGTAACCTAAAGATAATCTCGCGGAGACAACTCTACTGTTACACCAAAATTCCCCTTCATCAAAAAAACTAATATAGGGCAACAAAAGTGAGTACCTTTAGCCAAGAGGGCACATTGCTTTTGTAACCAGTGGCTAAGATTATTGCATCAAAATTTTCTGCTTTCCCATTCATAAATTCTACCGAGTGATGATTTAATCTCCTAATTCCAGGACATACCTGCACAATATGAAAAAAATTATTACTCCTTATTTTTTTCATTTTAGATATATATAGATCGCCAATGTTGGTGTAGAAAAATAGTATCGAATAACAACAACAACAACAACAATAAACCTACTAAAATCCTACAAGTAGGGTCTGAGAAGGATAGTATATACCCAAACCTCACGCCTATCTTGTGAAAGTAGAGAAATTATTTTCGGTAAAAAAATAGTGTCAGAAAAGCATTATATACACATTTTCTTGAAAATTGAAAAGGTAAATGTTTGAATAGTGAATGTTGGGACATAAGTAGAGAAATTTTATTAAACTATTTATGGAATATTTGCAATGATTGAGGATGAAGAAAGATCATCATGGGATTGATCCCAAAAAAAAAAAAGAAAAAAAAAGAGCAATCCAGTGCATTAAGCTTTCGTTACATGCGGGATCCGAAAAAGTGCCGGACAAACACGGAAAAAGGTAAGAAACGAAATGAAAGACAGATGACTAGAAAGGTGCAAATGCATAGTCAAATATGTTACCTTAATGTTTCCACTTTTAATCTTAGCAAGTGTGCCGACGTCGAGCACCGGTGTCTTTCCGGACAAGTTTTTGAGCTCCAGAGGCCCCGTCTGCGGCCGGTCAAGGCCGAGCCGCGACGTATCCCCGAGCATTAGCCTGGAAACCATTAGCAGAAATCCATCGACAAGCCTCATGGGCAACCACTTTAGTAACCACATGGACATCCCAAAAGTTGATTTTCCCAGCATCTCTTGTGGTAGGACGTGCACCTAAAAATCAAGAAAAAATGCATTTTATTACCATTAACTTAATTAAATAAGAAAAAAGGTTTTCTTTACAGTGAAAATTACACTGGACTTAAAGTTATATTTTATAATAAAAGTAATTAAAATCACACCAATCTTGCGCATGCTTGGGAGTTCCAAGAAAGTGAAAAATATCCTAGCTGGATTGAGCTATTCTTTTTAGTTTAATTCCTCAATTTTACTACTAGTCAATATCCTCAGGTCAGGTCCTTCAAGTGAATTTTTGGTTTTCGCACATATTAAAAAATTCATATTTTATCATTAATTAATAATATAATTGACCTTATAAACCTTAATTTGTTAATTGAAAAAACAATAAATATTCTTAGATGGCTCTTTACTCCAAGGTCAACTTTGAAAAAAAAAAAGTTAATTCTTTCTCGATATTTGAAAAAATTAAATATTATCGATCACAAAAAAAATCACTTAAAGTGGATCGGAGTGAATAGTAAATACCAACTTAAAGTGGATCGGAGTGAGTAGTAAATACGGTTGGAACTTGAACTCACTTTTAACTGTTAGACATTTTCAAAAATAATTTTTTTTTTTTTTTTGAATCATTTAAAGTACAGTAAATGTTTAGATTCTAAACTAGGTTTTTTCATAGTTCTCCACAGAAATGGGAACCAGCTTCTACGTAACCAAAATTTTACAACTTCATTTGAAATATTTGCAAAAAATGAGAAAAGTCCCATAGTTAATTAGGTTTTGCTTTTCCTCCCATGAAATTGACAGAAAGTTAGGATCAGTGGAAAACCTTTTCCCCTAATTTTAAATCATCATGCAAAGGTTGAAGATACAACTCAAAAGACATTAACAATATTTTTATATCAGACTACATAAATAATTTGCTTTAATGCCCCAATAAGGTTAAAACAAAATTAAACTTGTTTTTATTTTTAACTTTTTCTTTGAAAGCAAAGTGAGTTGCAAAAATATACTTACAGCATGTCTAGCCACAATAGAAGGAGTAGCATTATGATTACATAGATCCAAACACACTTCCATTCCTGAATTCCCACACCCAACTACCAACACTTTTTTCCCTCGAAATATTTCACCACTTTTATACAAACACGTATGCATTATACTTCCACCGAACTCGTCCATCCCTTCAATCCCCGGCACTACCGCCTCCGCATTCTCTCCTGTTGCGGCCACCAACCACCGGCATACATACTCCGTTGACGCCGTCTTCACCCGCCAAAACCCGAGATTCCGATCATACTCAGCACTAATCACCGTTTGATTAGAAACGGGGTTAATATCAAACGTCTTGGCATAATTCTCCAAGTAGTTAATAAACTGTTGCTTTGTGGGGTACGTTGGAAAATCATTAGGAAATGACATAAGGGGAAGTTCACAAAATTGCTTTGGCAAATGAAGGCGGAGACGATCATAAGTTTTGAGTTGCCATAATGATGCTATACAGTTAGATCTTTCTAGAACAACACTCGGAACTCCTTTTGATTTCAAACAAGCTGCTACTGCTAAACCTGATGGTCCTCCTCCCACTATCACCGGCCCCGGAACATATACACATCTCTCTATGTTTTTCTCATGAAAATAACAATGATCATGAGCTCTTTTACCTTCTATTTCTCTCAAGTAGTCCATAAATATTACTATATCGTCGTACGTGCAATAGTTCGAGCGGAAAGCAATAAGTTCAGTTGAACCCTCAGATACAACACTAAGCACCTTGGAGTAAAAAATTCCTTTTACTTGATGTTTCTACTTCTTGTTGACTGATGAGAGAAGATATAATGAAGAGTAAAATAAAGAAAGAGAGAGTTTAGGGGATAATTAGTTATTCAAATAATATTATCCAAAAGAAAGGAGACTTATATATAAGAAGCCCTGAAGAAGTGGAGTGAATCAAGTGTGATTCTTATCCATTTAATGAAAATGTATGTAGAAATACATATATATTCCTTTTGTCCCTAGGAGGCACGAGAAGAAAAGAGGAGAGGGACTAATGAATTGAATTGAATTGAATTGAATTGAATTGAATGAATTCAATTCAAGACAATTCAACTACTAATATACCACACACTAGAAGAAGGTTTGAGCAGTACAGAAGTAATGGAAGTGGGACACAGATAATATATATANATATATATATATATATATATATATATATATATATATATATATATATATATATATATATATATATATATATATATATATATAAGTATATAGTACGTAATCGATACTTTCGCACATTAATGATTTTTGTTTTTGGCTATTTTCACATATAATAAGAAATTCACATTTTAACATTAGTTAACAATAAAATAGACCATATTAACCTTAACTTGTTTATTGAAAATATAACAGATACTCTAAGACTCTTTATTGCAAGGGCAACTTTGAAAAAAAGAAGCTAATTCCTTTTTGATATATAAAAAATCAAATATTATGGACCATAAAAAAAGGCCTAAAAATCAATTAAAGTGAATGGGATGGAGTATACTTTAGTGTATATATACATTAATTAAGAGCCGGGCAAGAAAAAAATAGTTTTTTTTATCTATTTAAGTAGCAATATAAAAATTTTAAAACAAAAATAGATGTCATGTTTCAATTAATAAACTTCACTATATTTAAATCACACAGAGAGAGCTGAGGGGACGTACATATAGTGTTTGATTAATAATAAAATTCTTAAACAAGTTGGGTACGTTAAACAAATTCCTACAATTATCTTAAATAAGGATAAGATTAAGAATATATCGTTATCTTTAATGGAAAAAAAATTGATCTTTATTAGGACTTTATAGAGTGGAATATAATCAATATATAGTTGGGTGTGATTTTCATTGTAGTTATGGTTGGCACTGGGTCGTTCTATGCAAGATTGGGCCGTGTGGAAGGTATACTAATTAATAAAATTATCATCCACTTTTAACCCTCATTATCCTTTTTCTCTTTAAACCTAAAGGCACTATTAATTGTTTGGTAATTTAAACCAACTTACTCTTTTTTGTATGTTTATTTCCTCGTTTTAATTGCTACTAGTCCTTGGGACGTTCATTGCGCGTGTATTCCATGTAATTAATACAAAATTAAAAAATTATGTCGTTTTGTAAATGGATAGTAAAACGCTTAAAACGATGATTGTATTTATAATAAAATGATTTGTATTTAAAAATCATGAAATCTGAATATTTAAGCTATGGAAAATAGAAAGAGAAGACAATAATAAGAATTACAAATGTTAGCTCAAAAAAATTATTATACGCATGGAAAGTTAAAAGGCTTAACTTTGTAAAGTGAAGAATTTAGATACATGTATCTTAATAAATTAATTGACAATCTCAAGTCAAATTTAACGTTACAAAACTAACTTTTATAGCTTACATATTTTGTTAATATTGAAGGTATTGTTAATTTAACTTTTAAGGGTCTAAAAGTCCAATAATATTATAGAGTCATTTGATTTTTCATATTTAACTTTTTTTTCATGCTTATAATATACCATGAGATTATAGCTATTTACGAAGCAAAATCTAGTTACTCATATCATGATGCCTGAAGGTTGCTAGAGTGGTGGCAAATGAGAGCGCGCGTCAATGGATCGCTTGTTAAAATTTAATCATCATTTGAAATATAATTGAGATATAATCAATTCTTATAGCGAAAATAAAATTTGAATAAAAACCCGGTAGCCAAAACATGAAAAAATTTCAACACACTATGCTGGCGTCCTTTTTTTTTTTTTTGGTGTTTCAAATGTACAGTTCACCAGAAAAATCCAGGTTCAAATTGTAGGAAAATTCATGGCATTTGATCTTTATTAGTTCAAATTCATGGCATTTGAAATTTTATTCAAATTATCTAGAATAAAAAATACAACTTGCTACAAAATTGTGTCACATGATAAGGGTATTATTTTTTGTTTCTTTAAGGCGGGCCCCGGTGGGACAAGGGTGCAAGGTTTTTTTTTATTATTATTTATTTATTTCCCTCCCCTTTTGATCTCCTTTGTTGGAGCTACTGCTCCTTTGGTGACTTGAACCCACCACCCTGGGGTTGTAGATGGAATGCGCTGACCATTTGAGCAACCCCTCTTGTCGACAAGGGTGCAATTTAGTGCCCAACTTTGGAGGTAAAATTAGTGATTTAGTATATGAAAGTAATACCTTAATTCTGTCTTAATTTAAGTGATGTTTTTTTTTAATTTATTCAAAAATAAAAAATTTGTATATTTAAGAATAATTTAACTTTAAACTTTTTATTTAATTCTTGATGCAATGACTTATAGTTACAAAAATATTTACGACTTGTTTTAACTTACACCTTTTAAAAGCTTAAATTCTATATTCAATCAAAATGCATCACATTGACGAAGAAAATACTACTATTAGTTGTTGTAATAATAAGAAATATATATGAGACTGATGATGAAAGGTGACAAGATTGAGAAAGGTTTTTTTTTTTTTTTTTTTTTTTTTTTTTTTTTTTTTGGACTTTTATGTCATCTTGTTTATAGGATTAAAATAGGTCTAAGAGCCTCATGTCGCCAGCCTTTTAGTTTGGAGGCAATTGTATTCCAAATACAGCAAGGATATATTTGGTACCAAAAGCAAGCAGAGGCTACAATTGAGCTATTTCCAATAGTTTAAGGGTAATGTTACCCCTTTTCTATTAAATAAGAAACTTTTTCATTTTTTAGTTCATTGTAAAGCAAATTAGCGTTACTTTCCAATTTGTTCATAGGGTATATGTTAGTGAACTCAAATTTTCTTTTATATAATGTGTAGGAGCTTCAATTCCTTCATCCAAAAAACAAAGTTAGGTAACACATATACCTAACATCAACATAATCTACGAACGCATATCCTCCTAATAAAATTTACAGTTTTACACTATTAGGTTACTTTAGAAATCAATTATTAGTAACTTTTGACAGCATATTTTTTTTTTTTTTTTTAGTTACGGTAATTGTAAGTATATTTCTTCCGCCCTGTTTAAGAGTTATTACAAATTGGGACTTTTCTAGGACACAAAGTTCCTAGCTTGTCCAGTTCAAAAGTAGAAGTAACAAAAGGGGGCGGGGAGAAGTACAACATAGGATTCCCAAAAGAATTCGAGTTACTTCCATGTTTTGCCATAATATCAGCCACACCATTCGCTTCTCTGAAGACGTGAGTGACTTGAGGCTCGCCCGCTCTAGTTAGCATCCATCTGCAATCAGTAATCAAATTTTGGTACGGACCATTTTCATTAGTAAGCATGTTAATTAAGAGATTGCAATCTGTTTCAACCACTAGACGTCTAATGCTTTGTTGTATTGCTATCCTTAAACCCTGTATAAGAGCTAGGCCTTCCGTGAAAATGTTTGTAGCGTGATGAATAGACATGGTAAAGCCTATAATCCAATTACTGTCCCAGTCTCTGATAACTCCTCCAATGCCAACCCTCCCAGGGTTGCCTAAGCTAGATCCATCTATGTTTAATTTATAAATTCCCCGATCAGGTGGCTTCCATTTTATGTATATTGTCATCTTGGGGTTTGGACTTTGGAAAGATTCTGTTAACAACTTAAATTCCGTTGCGCTCTTAATGATGTTTTTTAAGGAGAGTGGAGATTTTTTGTTGTTAAATATGAAGTTGTTTCTGTGGGTCCATATATGCCAAAGGGTAAAGGGTAGAATATCTCCCTTAGATAAGAGTCTGTTAAATGGTGATTTATTGTGGCAAAGAGGTTTTAACCAGTTATGTATTGTTAGCTCATTGTGAGGTTGATCCGGGTATTTGTAAAAAGTTCCCAATTGGTCCCAAATAGGTTTTGAGTGCCTGCAGTTAAAGAACATATGCTCCATGTCTTCTTCTTCGTTTTGGCAGATGTTACAAATGCTAGAGGTAATGATTTTCCTATTATGTAACATTTTAGAGGTGGGTAACCTATTGTGGACAACTGTCCATAAGAAGGATTTTATTTTGTTTAAAGTGTCAAGCTTCCATAACCATGAAAAGTCAGTCTAGTTACCTACTTCTTGTGATTGTGCTTTGATAATGTTATAGGCAGTCTTTGTCGAGAAGGAGCCATTAGGACCTTCTGCCCAAGCAAATTTATCAACTGCCGGCTCACTTTGTTTAATATAAATGCTAAAAAAATTTTTACGGATGGTTTCAGGGAGTTCAAAGGATAGAGAGTTAATATTGAAGGATCCCTCCACTAGGATAGAACTTAGGGTTAGATTGGATTCGTTGCGGGGTAGAGGTCCTTGAATGAGGGAACGAAGGGGTCCTGAGTCTATGATCCAGGCGTCATGCCAGAGGTTAATGGATTCCCCATTCCCTACTTCCCAGTGTATGCCCTTTTCGCAGACTTCTCCTCCAATACAAATGTTTTTCCAGATATGAGTTCCTCCTTTTTTCTCCAGATCCTTCCATCTGGAGGGATTCATATTGATGCTGTATCTGTTTTGAAGGACTTGAACCCAAAGAGATTGCTTTTCTCTTGTAAATCTCCATGCCAGGGTTGCATTGAATGATTGGTTTTTCCATTTTGCTTTATATAACCCCAAACCTCCTTCTTTTTTGTCCCTAGTTACTGTGTTCCAATTAATGAGGTGACATTTTCTTTTTTCAGATGTACTTCCCCATAGGAAATTTCTTTGAATTGTATCAATAGTTTTCAGTGTAGATTTTGGGAGACTATATATTTGCATGATATGATTAGGGATTGCTGCAAGAGTGGATTTTATTAAGGTGGTTCGACCTGCTGTGGTTAGAAGGTTTACTTTCCATCCCTGCAGTTTGCTATTAAGGCTATCAATGATAGGTTGGAAGTCTTTTTTGGTTGGGTTTGAGCTCAAGATTGGGAATCCTAGGTATTTCCCTATTTCATTCGATGTTTTCATTGAAAGACATTGACTGATGTAATCCTTGGTTCTGGAGGATGTATTCTTGGAGAACATTATTCTAGACTTGTTGAAATTAATGGATTGCCCCGAATAGTTGCAGAATTTATTAAGGGTATCTATTATTGAATTACAACTTTCCTGATTGGCTTCTGCC